AACTCACAAGAGCTCCTTAGTGGTTCTGGACCAACATTAGCCACCTGACTGCTGGCTGACTCGGCTGTCAAGGTAGTCCATGAACATGGGTTCTTCTAGTGTCAGGATGAACTCTTATGTTGCATGCATGTATTTTCCTGGTGAGAATTTATTTGTCTAGTAGCAGCTGTTACCCGGATGGGTCGAGGGGACTAAATACACTGATCCACCAGGCTAGTAACGTTGTGTGGATGGAGTGGACTCTGCCAAGATGGTGTCAAAGAGACAGATGTTGTCCAAGACATGGAGGATGCTGGACAACACCTCCCACCCACTCCGTGATGTGCTGAGCATGCTCAGTGAGAGACAGATTTACCCAAATGAGACAGAAAATAGTTCCTGCCTGTGGCTACGTCCATCTAATTGCAGCAACAGCTGCACATCCTCTACAAAGGAGTCTAAGAGGGCATCTCAATTTCAGCTTTATCTACACTCTCTTCCATGTGAGATAATGGGATATTTATTTATTTATTAGAACTATTGCGTAATATACTGTAATATTTTATTGGTACTGTAACTTGTTAGTTACTGTCCTTACTGTCTTGGAGCAACTGTGACTGCAAAGTTTCCTCTGGCATTGATAAAGTATTCTGAGTCTCCTCACTGTTCGGGTACCTAAAGGCACTGAGGTGCTGCACCACCTGCCCTTTGACCTCCAGGCGCTGAAACAGCGTGTGAGTTGTTGCTTCGTCAGGAGTGACTCTTCAACAGCAGCACTGCTGTTCATTCAGTTCTAAGAAGCAAATGAGTAAATCCACTTGCTGACAACATGCTGCCAGGCTATTAGAGTCGGGTGCACCACCATGTTGTCTGCATATTTGAGAACTGTCATACTGTCCATATTACAGGTTACATTATACGTGTAGAGACTACATCTCCATCACCCCTCAGGTCTGTTGAGGACGCAGGATCCTCAGCTCTGGATACGCGGACCCATGCGAACCTAGAGCTCCCCTGGGGTGGACACAAAGCTATATATGACAGAGTTGTTGATTTTAAAAAAAGCAATAATAATATGAAGAGGGTTTTGTGTTTCTCAGCCTAGAACAGCTACAATCTCATTTTCTGGGTTTAAGAGAGGAGAGTTCAAAACCAGAGAGAGGAGGTGTCTTATTCAAGCAGTGATAAGAATGATAAGATAAGATAAGATAGAACTTTATTAATCCCTCGGGTGGGTTCCTCTGGGAAATTCGGTTTCCAAAACCACAGCACCGACAGAAGTTACAGTTACAGAATGTTATATATATA